GCAGAAAACAATTTGTTTCCTGGATGACTTACTAAAGTTATATACTAGTGAAATCTTGCCTTTCTTATTGCTTTTCTTCCTGTGTGGTCAGGGCAAAAAAGCAGTCCAGCTACCACAGCAAGGAATGCCAGGAAGTAATTCAACATTCAGAAAATATTAATATTTGGTAAGTTTAGTAAAAATGTGGAGAGATTTTATAGCTTTACATTTCTTTTCTTGATAGTTACAGGCCAAATTCTTTTCTGATATGAAGGATCTAAGGTACACTTCAGTTAATGAAACAAGGCCAGCAGTTAATTAAACAAGACCAGCTTATCCTAGCACAAAATCTCAACTCTGTTTTACTGCTTAACAGCAAAATTAGAGGAAATGCAACGGACTTTCAGTAATATGTGCAAGCCATTCTTAGCCATGTGAATGGCTCAATATTTAGGCCATGTACCACTTTGTTCATCTCACTAATCATTTATTTTGTTAAAGTCTGTTTTCTTTCAGGGTGGTGTTCACCCCCAGCTCCTCCTCTTGCAATTTAAAGATCTGACTTTACACATTACAGGTTTGGAGCACTGTCTTTTGAGGGTGGGGGGGAGAGCAGGGAGGATTGGATAACTGCCCAATTTCATATGATAAAAGTGAAATTCTCTCCTGTCTGCAGGACAATCCCCAGGGAACAACGTATGAAACCCAAACTTAAATAAGATCATATCCTGTTTGCAAACATCATATTCCCTTTGCTTCTCAGTAATCTGGATCCATAAACCCCAGCACAGCTTGAGAGCCCATTCCTCATCTAAACAAATGCCATAAGCCCCTTTATACTTTTACAACCGTGTCAGAAAATAATATTGACTGCCAATAGTGATGTGATTGGAGTTGCCTCCTCTGAGCCATAAAAGAAGCAGTCTGTTATCAATTTCTCTAAATGCATCAAGGGAATTATGGGTTGGTTCAGTTCCAAGTTATAAATGACAATTCAAAAGCCGCAGAAGTGTTTGAAGCTGGGAGCCGATGATGACATTATCATAAAAGCCTGCTCTTCTTTGCTTTTGTGGGTTTTTCTGCCTATCAACTAGACAAAAAAATATGGCTGAGAAATGACTTCAAGATTTCTTCACACAGCAGCAGGTCAAACAGGCAGGAAAACAATCACTATTTTTAGTGACAGATTGAGGCAAGGAGATGAAACTCACTCCCATTAAAAGTAGATTTCTTCTTATCATCATTTTCACAGCACAACAGAAGGGAAGCAATTGCAATAGATGGATGCATTGATCAAAATGTTCAGTTATAGCTCTAGTGGATGTTTATAGATGAAAAATTGTGGAATGGTCTGATAATCTGCAGAACCAACAAGTAAATTGTGATTATTCTCCCCATTTGGCCACTTCACCTGTAATCTACCCACTTCTCCTGGAAAACTTTTCACATTCCAAACCTCTGACCAGCCACATGAAACTATCTCTTGTTAGTAAAAATGCTGGCTGTAGAGCTGCTAGTCTCTCTCCAACACAAGGAATTTCATCCCCCCAGTATCAGAATTCTTTAACAACAGTTGGTTCTGGAACAACATTAAGCTTGAAAAAAGAATAAAAACCATTATTGCAAAAGGGAGGTCTCATACTTCAGCAGATGTTATACTTCCGACCCTGGATAGTCCTCTGATAAAAAATTAACCATCAATGAAAGAAAATCTGTTATGGGCAAATTTAGGAGGCTAGATTGAGACAACTTTTTTTTCTCTCTCTGTAAGACCTGTTCAGTTTGACTGTCAGTATGAAACAGCTTTGTGCTCTTAGATAAGAGCTTCTTATAAAACTGAAGTTTATTGTTTGATTTCTTCTAAAAGCCTAACATATACCAAGCCAAATTATCCAATGACCCTGACAGAATTAGTCCTTATTGCTACTTGAAAGAAAATTCATATGGATGAAAAATGTTTAAAAAAATCAGTAAATAGTAGCTTTACATGTATTTTGCATGTGTTTAGAGCCATGACTGAACAGGATCGGAAAATATTAGTTATGGACATTGTCTCTTGTTTGCTTCTGAAAATTATTGAAAAAACCCTTTCTTTTACTGTAAGTCCAAAGAAGAGGATCCCTGATATTGACTGCAACAACAAAATCAATAGTATAGTAGAATGCAGGGTTGCAGAGGTCAGTTGGACCTTTGTTTGTGAACAATGCAAGCCATCCCAAACTCATGGTGACATACTCTTTATAGCCCATAAGCTGCTCATGTCTTCAATGCCTGTGAAGTCCTAGGTTCCAGTCTGCTCCAAGGGCAGTTTCCATTTTGTCCAGTGATTCTTTCACATGAAATATGTAAGTTGCTTGTGGAGCAGGGGCTCAGAGCTAGGACTTCACATTATTTATAAATATATGATAGGTAGATGATAGCCCTAGATACATTGGTTTCATGCTACTTATGCTCTGTCTTACTGGTCCAGTGCTCTTTTCAACAGTGGCACAGCTTCAGTGTGTGGTGTGACAGTCCCCAACCAGAAAAAATCTATGATCTCCTCAGTGGTAACAACATCCGTTAAGAGATGGGGGCTCTGATATTAAATCCAGCCTGGCAGTGGAGGGAAATGAGCCTAGGTTTCCCATCCCCTGTGTGAGTAGTTTAACCACTAATCTATTTAATAATAGAAGAGCTGCATAATAACAGCCAGCAAGGTCCCCATATGGTTAGAAGACAATAGGATCAAAGAGCTCAAGAGGCAGTTATAAATCTGCAAGAATGGAATCCTTTTTTTTTTTTCCTTAATACTTTCTCACTGTATTCTTCAGCAAACAAGAAAACAAATGAGAACAAAAATATTCAAAAAAATAAATTCTTCCATCCCTCCTTAAAATCTTTGCATGAACTACTTTTACTGCTTTACATTGGTTAATGTTTTATAACCCTCAATTAAGTTGAAAGTTAAGTAGCAATGCTTTTTCTTTCTTTCCACCATCATTTTTGAAAGCAAACTTAAGAATTGTTTTCCACACAGTTTGAAGCAGCTCCCTTTCCCAGAACTCATCTTAACCAATAGACAGCTAGATATCACTGAAAGAGAGCTCCTAATCTGATTATTTACCTTGAAAAAGGTCATAGCCCATTCCTTTAAAAGAGCCCCACAGCAAGCCTGACAATAATAATATGTAGAAAGGCAAACCAAGTAGAAAAAAATAAATAAAAGATCAATTTCTACAACATGTTCTTTAATGCAATTTTCATTATTTTAAATAAGAAATGAAGCAAATAGACTAAAAAAATGTAGATAAATGTAAATGCTTTAAAAAATGAAGTTATACTGACCATTTCTGACTTGCATTACCTTTAGATTGGAAAACATACTTCCATTAGTAGAAGGATTTCAAATCACATCTCTATTCACAATTTTTTTAACACCACAATAACTTGTTTCATAGAAAATTTGTATACTTTAATGGTCAAAGCATACCACAGTCCTATTTTCTTCCCAAAGACCTCAGAAATATTTGTCAAGAAATTTTACATCTGCTCCTCTACTCAGAAACCTGAACATTTCTCAACTTTATTAATATCTTGTTCAGTTTTCTCTAAACTTAATAACTGCAACAACAGTGTGAAAAATAACCTTTTTTTATACAGAAATGTGTGCATGTAGGCATGTGTGTGTGCATGTGTGCACACAGTAGTGCACAGAGGTTCATGTGGACTTGCATGTCTGCGTGTCAAAGTGTAGTGTTAGCTGTTCCACGTACAGAAGTGACCCCCAAGTTTCAAAATTAGCAAGTTGCTAGTCAATCACCAAGTTCCAAATTTTAGGCAGAATCCTCAGCAAGCTAAGCCCACAGTAGAAGCGCTGGGGTGATTACCACTTCCTGATTCTTTGTTCCTTAACTCAAAAGTTCACAAATCCTCAAAAATTACTAAATGCTGCAAGCTGAACTGGAATTTTTCTGTGTGTGTGTGTGTGTGTGTGTGTTAAATCCTTACAAAATTAGTATTTCTTCTGTCAGGTATTTCATAATTAAAAAAAAAACAAAAAACAAACCAAACCAAAACACACTATAAACAAGACCAGTATGGTATGGAATTTATCCTTTGTGAAGGATAAAAGTAAATAAAACTTTAGAAGGCTGCATTGGAAGTTGACCTCTAGAGATTGTGGCTTTATTCCTGCACACTCAGAAACAGTGAAAGGGAACTAAAATATATATGCGTCATCCAGCCAGCCTATCTAGTAATATCATCATTTCACTTTGATATTGCTGACATCAGTAAATAATGGACTCAGCTGGACTAAAAGTGTAGAATACTATTGTATGGAAAACCCTGTATGTGAAAATATGTTTCTTCCTGGTAATATCTGCACTAGAATTTAATGGGAGCATGACACCAACGCTAGTAGAAATTCTCCATTGTACATGTTTTTCAATAATATAGGTTAATTCATTTACCTAGTGTTGCAATAGATTTTTGGCTGCAGGTTTTTGTCTACTGTGTCCTATACTTGCAAGCTTATATTTAATCAATTTCAAAACAGGACATAAAAATGCTCAAATAATTTATTAATTTAACAACACCCAAGTTATTAGTGAGCAGCTAGTGAACACTTCTCATGCTAAATATTAGCTTTAGCAATTTTTTTTGTCCTTTCTGAGAAATGTGAAGCTATATTTACTTTTTAACAGTACACAAAACAGCTTCTCCAAAGCTCATTCTTCTATAACAACTGCACCCATGTTATCTTCCTCAAAAATAGAGCTCATGTAAAAAAATAGAACTGGGACAACTAAGAAATGTGCACATTATCACAAAATATGTTCCTATCTAACTGTTCCATGTGCTTATTGTAGTGTACTGTCTTTGAAAAAATAGTATATTATAGTATTCAGGTTTCATCCCTACATTTTAATCGGCTTCTGAAGACTTTGAACTGATAATTCAATAGTGCTAAAGAATTAATGAATGAATACATATGTTGCGTGGTGTCCCCGTCGTGAATAAAACAAATATCTACTTACCCCAAGTCCCCCACAAGGCAACAAGGAAAAGAGTTTTTGAGACACGTTTCCTATATATTAAAGAAAATAAGAAACAATAAGCATAAGTCATCATAGTGACATTTAAATACTGGAATACTAATCACTCTTCACTGTAATTCAGATATCAGTATCACAAAATTAAAATGCCACATATTAGAATAAAAATATTAATAGTACTTAGAAAGCAAATCAGCCATGGGACATTTAAAGTAGTCTATCGAAACAGTGACAAGTCTGCAAGATTGGTAAGCAGTAGTTTCAAAGGAGCATAATGATCAAATCTTCACAGAAAGCCACTCTGAACTAAGGTGACTCATCATGCCGATATCTGTAGCTGATAAGCAGCTTGTCTAAGCTAGTCATCTCAGCTTCTTCAGCCAGTGAAGTGAGGTAGGCACCTCTACCCAGCCCAGATGACTGATGGGATGAATTATACTTGAGAAGTGCCTGTTTCTTTTCACTGACAACAGAAGGAACCTCATTAAGCTTACATGAAACTGATAACTAATTTCTTAACTTAATCTCTCCAAAAAAGTTTCTCCTTTGAAAATCACAGCATCAGTCTTCCTATCTGTGCAAAAATGCTGTTCTCTTCATTTACGTACCATCAATGAACACATTAATATGTTAAAAACATAAAATAAAATACTTGTTTCAGCATTACTCAGTAAATACATTCTATGGAAAGGAACAAAAACTCCATAGGCTTTAGAATCTAATTTGTAGTTTACTCTGTTCTATACATTAGATGATGTGGTAGGGTTTATCTTAATATTTATACTCACTTTTTATTCATTCATGTTTTCTTTTTTTGTACCACTAAACTCACTGTATGTCTTGATAAGTACAATATGAAGACCGGGTAAGGATGTCAGGATTTGATTCAGTTCCTATCCCAGTATGTAATCTGATCCTAAGGCAGCTGGGGAAGAGAACATGAGCTTTTCCTCTGCCGTATCACAGAACTGACTTTGTAACTTTGCCATCTGGAGGAAACGTTAGATAGTGAATCATTCAAGTTACCGAGAGGAGCCACCCATTGTTATGGAAGGGGCGAATGCTGCAGTTACTCATGTTTAGCAGGTGCCAATGAAATGCATGAAGACAATTATAAGCCATCATCTTTGAAGTACGAGAGACCAGACTGCAAGGTCTGAGATGAAGAAAGTGCTTTACACTTTGAGTAAAATCCAAGATGCATTTTTAACCAACTAGAAGCCTTTGATCAGTTTGCACAGTGTGTGAGAGAAGCCAAACAAAACCTCCTGTGGAGCTACCAGGAGAAATGCAGGTGCAGCAGCTATGCAGAGTATTCTCATACTGTGAGTCTTAATAGCCCCAGACATGCAAGGAAATGTTGGCTGCAGGAGACTGTCAGAGTAGAGGTACAGGAGGATTTTCCAGATCTCTTGCTAAGCAGATCTGGGGACCAAGGTGAACAGCAATTTTTCACTTTTTACTGTGGGGAAGATCAAAAAGTCTTAAGCAGATAACTAAAAAATTGGTGCTGTTAAAATGCCAGGAGACACTAATGGAAACATAAGCTGTAATTTGAGATAAAAGACAGCATTTTTAGAATATTGAATGACTAGACCTTTTTTCTTAAATTCCATCGCAGAGTTGGGACATAAGAGAGAACAGATGAATTCTCATTTATCTCCCTGCAGCTGGGCCCATTGTGAATGGTAAACACTATTAAAAACAACAAACAAAAAGAAGAAACAGAAAAGCAGATGGTGAGGAAGGACACTAAAATCAATCAACAGATAGTACTAAAACAGAGGGAAACAAGCACAAAGCCTTTTCAGTGTATCAAGAAACTTGCCAGGATACTCACTTCTTATTGCACAATAATAAAAAAAAAAAGCAGATAACAGACTTTGCAGAACAAGGAAAAGATTGGGATTTCATGAAAAGAACAGTGAGGAAAGGTTCTACTGAGAGAGAGTGACACCATTACGTAGTTAGCCTCACAAAAAGAAAAGAGCTCACAACACTCTTTGCCATAAATGAAAATCAGTAGCAAAAGCAAGCTCTGAAAAGGAATCAAAGTGAGAATTTCCCATGACGTTTGGAGTTGATGTCCCAGCAGAACCTGGTAAATAGCAGGCATTTTCAAGTAACACTCTTCCACACCCCAGGATACCTCCAGAATAACAATAAAAAAAGATATTGGAATACTTCAAGTAAGAGAGAAGACAAATTTAAAAAAAAACTTTTTCAGGCTTTGCATCAGGACAGAGTTTGCAGTCACCAGCAAATCACTTGAGAAAAAAGATATTTTAGATAAGACTCAGTACAACAATTTACTGACAGTGCTGGAAAAAATATCCAAGATTTGTATTCTAAAATTTCAACCTACAAAGGCAGTAGAAGCTGATTAGTCAAATTAGGTGCTAAGGCACCCATCACTGACTGAGGTCAGAGCCCCTACAGAAGTCAAGGAAGCTGCTTAGGAGGCTGACAATTTGAGACTGAGATTCTGATAAGCAGGGAAAGTGATTGGCAAAAACTCTCTTTCAAAAACATAAACCAATTAAAAGGTTTGTTCACTTGTGAAAAGGCAGAATTTCAGGAACCTGATTGTTTTCAGTATCATTCCTCAAGAACAAAGCCATTTCTGCTAAGTGGCCTTTTTTTTCACTAACTTGAAATTGCAATTGCGCAGATGCTCTGTGAATGCGTCTTTTAGTTGTACTCTAAGTACTGCCACACTGTCAGGGATGTGTTGACAGTATATTTCTCAATTTTACAAACTTGTAATCATTGGTAATTTGATTTTTAGCAACACTTTCTTAAATATGGTTGGAGAGGGAAAAAGCAACCAAATTTGTAAGACCTGTTTGATAACTGTTCTGCCTTTGAGCTTATTAAAGAGGTTTGAAAGGTCGTATTCTGTCATCTGAAACACAGCCTGCGTATTAGTTTCCTTCACGTCAAGACAATGATGGGCAACGTAACATGTTGCTTAACACACCACAGTGAAATACGATCAGTCAAAAGCTTAACTATGCTATAGTATAGAAGTTGAAGTGATCATTTGCAAGAGCTGCATTTGTAGGCCCTGATGCAGGGAAAATAAAGCAACATAAAGAATATGTGAATGATAACTGTGTGCATAATTCTCACTCATTTCAGTAGTTTAGAGCTATTTTGCTTTGTGGTCTTCCAGAACAGAGTTTCTTTCTTGAATAGGGACACTGAAATAAGCATTTATTGACAAGTAGCACATTTATTGCCCTGGTCATACTTAAATTTCATTTCACATGTTTCTTTTCCATTTGGAAGAAACAGAAGCTGCTTGTTAACAAAAAAAAAAGAAAAAAAAAAAGCTTCAGACAAAGCAGATGTACTCTTCTGCATGGAGACAGGGAACAAAAGCTTTTCTGGAACACAAGTGGAGAACAGTGCCTCTGTCTTTTTGGGTGGGTAGAGGAGTAAGGAAAGGAAAGGTTAGGTCCTCCTTTTCATTTAGGATGCAAAGCCATAATTTGACAAAACAATTTCTCTAGAAAAAAAAATGCACTTTCATTGAAATAGAAATGTTTTATGCAATTATGTTGTTACTGATGACATTTTTTATGAGAAACATTTCCTTTAGATTTTTCTCCTTTGCTACACATCATTTTGAATTTCTAGACTATACCAAGATGTTAATTTTAATGTCAGGATTGATTAGGTTCAACCTCACTGAACTGGGGACAATGAAAGGTGGAACAGTCACACTGCATTTGGGAAAAATATGAGAGACAATCAAGTTCCTTTACACAAGAGTCTGGAAGCCCAAATGAGGAGAGCTTCTGGCCAAAAAAACAGGCAGATGCAAAAGCATGTGGGAAGGGTGTTTCATTGATTCTTGGCTTGGTAAAAGGTCATATAAGATGTAGCAAGAAAAAAATAGAGACAGAAAAGGGCATTAAGCCAAGGATACACTCAGAATATATGCTAGGAGTGTGATCTTGATACAAATTTAGAGAGCAAGTGTTTTGGACTGTCAAATAAAAAAGGCAAAGGGTGTTGAGTAACGAACAGTAGGCAAAGAAATGGCTTTCTGAGATTGGGTAAACAAAGCTTTCTACATTCTCTATACATAAGCAGAAACACAGCAAGGGTACCTGGGTCTATTCCTTTTTTCACCTCATAGCTGCAACTACACTGCTTCCTGTGTGCTGGTCAACCACTGAGATCCAAAATGGGAACAAGATTTTATATCATCAGGTGCTATATTAAATAATGTGAAAATCAAAATGAAATTAATCAAAACCAACAAAATTTAAATTAAATTCTTGACTCTATCAAAATGGAACATTTTGACAATGCTGATGAACTCAAATCAAAATGTTTCCAAATTTTCATTTTGCAAGAATTTAGAGCTTTTTCTTGGAAACACTTTTTGTTTTGTTCTTATATTTTTTTAAAGGGGGATTTGTATCTTGGCAATTCAAGCTCCAAAGACTCTATTATACTGTAAGCATTTTTCAGTTTTTATGTTGCCGTGGCTAAGAAGATATATAAACTTAGACAACATTGTAATCAAGACATTTTTCTTATCTACTGTTATGATTGACTGCCTTACAGAAGAAACTCTTTGCATTAGTTTCCAAAGCAAAACAATTGCTATGTATTACTAGAACTGTGGCAGCAATTTTTTCTGATAGCTGGTATTGTTTTTGTTTGGGTTGGGTTTCATTACATTTAGGAAAAGCTCCAGATCTTAGAATAAGTGTTATAAAAATAGCTGTGAATTAGTGTTGCATCAAGTGTGCTTGGTCATAAGGGCAGGATTTCACTCACAGATTATTTCCAAAATGCACTACTTTTTTGTGTGTTTCCTTTCAGCAGGTCTGACAAGTAGATCTGCTTCATGCTACACTCATGGCAGAGCTCAGTTTAACCCTACTTTTCCATTATAAAAAGCATACACTGTGCATGAAGATATTTGATGTGAAAATCCTGTCAGCTTTCTGCTATTCTGTACACCCATAGGTCCATCTAACGTTTTAATGTGTTTTCCCCCCCTGTTGTTCAGAAAGATAACATATCCTGCATAATGGAAGGCATTAAAATAAGTTCACTTATGAGCAAGATTTAGGCATTGCACTCAGCATGGCTGAAATAATTGAAATAAAAGCAAATGAGAACAGCAAACAAGCAATTCTGACAAGCAAGTGTATCTTAAACTCCCGTTTTCTGATCAAAGAACACAAGGAGATAGAAGATCGACCACGTTCAAAATTGCCATTGACCTCCAATGGAGAATAATTACAGTAAAGGGTTAACACTTCGATGATTTTTGAAGCAAATGAGGAGAAACTTTGATTGCTGCTTTCCAGCCTGTGCATTTTGCTAATCTATATTTGGCTTCCATTGTAACATTCTCCTTCCACATAGCAATGCATTTGGAAAAAGTGAATTTTTGTCACACTGCTTGCCAAGTATTTTAAACTGACACCAGCTATGACTAATGACAGTGCTGGAATGTGCTGTTCTCAGTAGAATAGAGGCCTGTACAGACCTAGGAGTTTCCTGGGGTCCAGCTTCTGTCTGTTCAGGGGGCTGGTGCCATAAAGCAGTGAATGATGTTCAGAGTGAACCAGCTGTATTTCCTCCAGACTGGCTTTTCGACCTCGAATTCGCTGAAAGAAAACAGCAGAGGCCTACAATATTCCACTGACAATATTTAGGGAGAAAAAAAAAAAAAAAAAAGTAACGGTCCAAAATAACATTTAGTATGATTAATAATGGGTTGAAATTGCATCATGCAGGAATGTGACACTGATTTGTTTATTAAAGTAATGTTATACAAAAAACAAATGCGTGTGTGGTTTATCACAAATGCTTCACTTAAGTCTTACCAGAGTTAACTTAATACAGGGTTTCACATACAAAAAAGAAAAAATATTCTGCCTTTTTTCTACATTATATTGAGACATACAAACCAAAAGGTGAGATATTTCTTAAGTAAGAAATCTGTCTAGAAAAGGAGCTGCTTCTGGTTTAAGGACCAAAAACTTACACCTGTAAGCTGCAGATTTGTTCTGAATGTTGATTAATGGTTTTTGCATCACTACTAGTACTTGCGATTTGTGCTGCTAGGAAGAGCATTATCACAGTGAGGAGAGCCAGGGAGAAGAAGAAAACTAAAGTTTAAATGCTTTAATAAAATCATGTATGATCAATATCCAGGATCATTTTTGCTGCTACACATGCTGACTCGCTTGCTTACATTTTTTGAAATGTCTCTTTAACTGTTTCTCCAGCCTGTACTCTCCCCACTTAAATAAATGTTAAAAAAATCCAAGATGCCTTTCTATAAATCCATTGAAATGTAATCAGTTCAAGAAGGAAGGAAGATAGGAAAGAAAGAAGAAAAGATAAAACTAACACTTTCTGATTCAGCAGATCTGTTCCTTGTCTGTACTTGGAGTTACAACTTGTCATAAAATTATTTACTTCTCTGCTTGCGCTAGTGCTGCACAGCCTTTGCAGACACAACAACATTAAGCAGACTGTGTTCAGGTTTGGACATAATAAACAGCACTGTCAACAAACTTCTGGTCCCAAGATCGTCTTTGCTGTTGGTATTGTATAGTGTGGAGAGAAAGCAGTCTATTTTTAAGGTCTTCGACTCTATATTTTCGATCTGGACCTTAAGAACACCTGGGGCAAAACCTCTCACAAATTAGACTGAGGATCCGGCTGACTGTCAAGGTCTACAGATAAACAGGTGCAGAAGTTATCCGAATAGACTATCCTGTTTTTAATAGACTGATTAACCTGCTACAGAAATGCCTCTCAATTCTATTTTTCTTAGAGGTTAAGCTGTAATTCATATTATATCCATCACCTACTCATGCACATCAGAAAGCACCAGCATCTTCACTGGGACAAGAAAGCAATATTATAAATATTAGAGAGATTGTGCACCTCAGAAGAAAGAAGCTGCCTAGAGGGGTCAGAAGAACCATTCACAGTTTATATTGAGTTAAGCAGTGGCAATTTTCTCTGACTAATCAGGAAAAATGTCCTAAGAGTTAGATTTAGATGACTGTGGAACAAGCTCCCCCTCAGGGAAATGGTGGAAGCCCTATTTCTTGTAGTGTTTAAAACTTGACTGGACACAGCAGTGGAAAAACATTTTAGGGAATGATCCAAGAACTAAATGACTTAATAAACCCTTTTTCATCTGTAATTTCTTCAAGCCTCTCCCAGTCTCACATGAGAATTTGTAGCAGTGCACTCACATCCTTTTAACACACAGTTGCACAATCAAAATCAGCACATTATGTTACTTCATGAAGTCAGTAATCTCTGTAATGGTTCTTCTGGGTCAGATAAAATGTTTTTCTTCACAAGTGAGGCGACTGGTGACATTTATTCTTTCATCCATTCTCATTAAGGTCTATGTTTCTAATAAGGTGCTTTAAAATCTATATACCCAATTCTCCACAGCAAAACTAGGAAGGGAGGCTGGCTTTTAGGACAGCTAAAACAAATTTATCAGAAAGGTAAAAAGGTATTTTATGAAGGTCACATCAAAGAAACTTGAGTAAAATACTCACTCTCTGGTCATATATCTTCTACAAGTTATTCAAAACCTCTTTAAGAGATGTTTAAGAGAGTTAATTGACTGGCTCTTTTAAAAGTGCTGTTAAATGCCATATCCCTTTAACTATAAAAAGACCCACAACTAGCCATTATTCTTACAACGGGGAGCTCTGTGATATCCTATGGAATAGTGTTTTGCACTAACAAGGTAGGGTCTGGAAGTGGCCTCCCCAAAACATTTTGCCAACGAGCTACGTAGTACCCAGTGTTGCCAGCCACGTTCTCTAGGGCAGAAACAGGTTATGGAGAAACAGGTTTGGTGCAGAAATCAAGTAGCACCAAAGAGCACCCCCACTCCAGGCTGCTCCCAGCACTGAGGTCTGTGCAGTGCAGCCAGCAGCTGAGCTGCTAGGGCAGGCACAGCCCAGAGCTGCTCTTTCTCCGCGGCTTTTCCAGCTCTGACCTTGGGAATTGGCAAGCACATTCACACAGTAAATGGCAGGAGGAAAGGGAAGGGTAAACAGTGCTCACATCTGTGCTGTTTCTGCATTCCCATCTCTTCATTTAATGTTCTTTTCATGCCACCCTTGCAGTATCTCTGCCTGTCAAGTAATTTTTATTGATTATTTATTAAAATTACAACTATCTAAGGCTCTATACAAAGGCTAAAATAATTTATATTAAAAACTACGTGTAACAATTGCTAATAACAGTTCTTCTTACACAACGATATAAGGACTTAGCAGATCTACAAAAGCATCTTTTTTATTTTAAAGTATCTTTCTTAATTTTCATTGGCCGTGGTAGTATCAAAAACCCTAAAATGTAGTAGAAAGCAGAAAATTGGCATAAAGCCAATGAAAAAGGAGAAATAACACAGGAGAATTTATGAAAAGTATTTGTTTTATTCAGGGGAATTTGAATACTACATCCGTCCATCTACTATATCCTTAGTAGAAGGCAAGTCATCCTTTTCTAGTGTGGACAACAATTTGTGTGTCGGCTTTCCACTCTGACATATGCAGTTCCCGCATCAACAGAGACATTTATACATCTCAGGAGAGCAAAATACTGCCCCTGAGTGAGTGCTTTGAAAAATCAGTCTAGAACTAGTTATTCGCCCCACAACAGAAAAATGCTTTCACCTTTCACAGAATTTAAGGTCAAAGAGGACTCTCTAGTCTGGTCTTCTGTTTAAAAAAGACCATTAAAGTTTCACACAGATAACCTCTATTAACCTGAAGATTTTGGTTAGACTTTCAGCAGACTAAACTCTTGCACAGTCAAAGATTCAAAAACACAAAGGTGACACTGCCTGTTTCTCTCTGCTAAACTAACAGGAATTGTTGACATAGCTTAAGAAATATTTCTCATTTGGATCTCTCAGTGCAAGGTGTCCATTGCCTTTACTGCAGCTATTTGTATGGAGATAGTGTCTCTGAAATTTCCTTAGGTCATCTACTTTGTAAACAAGATCTTCAGAGTTTTTCCTACTTTTCTGGGGTTTCTCATAGTTGTTAAAGTCTCTCTTGTTTCTAAAAATACACACAGACAACACATATCTTTTGCCAGTCAGTACACCCACATCACTTACTCTCTCCATTATGTGGGAATTGCAAGCATATCTCTAACACTCCTGTACCCACACACAGAGGCATTTACTCTCTTCATGTGTTTTGGTCCTCCAGTGCCTAACCTCAATATGTTCAACAGTACAAAGTTTTTTGCTCTTAAATACTAACTTTTCCTGTATTATTTCTTCTTTAGTGGTAAACTGAGGTTCAGAGGATGGAATTTTTTCATATATTTCAGTCTATGTCATCTGGCAGACTCAAAGGTTTTTAAATCTTTAAATTCTTTTCTTCTCTTCCCTTTGGTCCATGAGATATGGACAGCAGGAGGTATAAGATGTCTCCCTAATCCAGAAAACTACCAAAATTCAGATCAAATTCTGGGCTGAAAAGAAGAGTGTTGCTGGACCACAGTCCCTACAGGAAGTAGAGGTGGGGGCACAAAGTGGGACCATGTCTACATTTTGCTTTTCTTTTCCAAACTGTGCTGACCAATTTAGCCTAATGTCAGTTGTGTGCATAAATTATGCCCCCAAAGGAGTTATGTAAATACTTCCTCTCCCTAGAACAAGTAGAAAGCAGACACCACTACCAAAACATAATTCAGTCCTTTTTTTTTTTGTCCCAGAGGTAGGGCAGCTACACATTGCTCTTTACCAAGAAAAAATTACCCCAAAAAAAAAAAAGATAATGGATGGTTTTATGCCTATCTTTGAATCTTTTAGCTGTCCTGTTCTTGATATATTTGATAACTGTCTGTTCTACATCTGTCAGCCTTTAACAAACACAGAATAGGTATTTCAGTAAACATACACAAAACTTTTAAACTAATGCAAAAATATTGTGTCTGAATTTTATTCTTCCAATACATATATACCAGGACTATAAAAAAGTCCACTACGGAAGGTGGGGGGGGGGTTGTAAATTACTCCACTCTCTTAACCCTGGACTCAGCCAGCGGCTGGTCTCTCAAACCTGGCTCTCCATGGCTGGCTATGGTCTGAATGTGTTTCTCCTTTGTCTTGGGGAAGCCGATGAAGGAAGTAATCTATCTGTTTGGAACAGTGTTATGACTAAAAAAAAAAAAAATCTGAAAGCTTTAACTAGTTTCTCAATTTAGCAAAAATCCTCTAAACTGTTGTTTGAACAACTAGAGCTCAAATACTTAAGGCTAGAAAGACAAAATACAGTCTGGAGAAGAAAGTTCTTTGGGCTGTGTCTGCAGCAGTAAATTGAGCAGTGCCAGGAAACCTTCCCAGGCAGAGGAACGCAATCATCTGTACTATTAAATTGCTAAAGTGGTCCTTCACACCGTTTTGGCTGAGCAGCAACTAGCACTCTCCCAAACAACTCCCAGACATAGTTTGGTCACTGGCATGGGCCAGGGAGCATTCCTGGTAGTGTGAACATGAGCTTTTCCATGCCAATTGGCCGCAGTGATGGAGAACAGTCCCAAGCACGTTTTATTTTGTAGGGAAGACACAGCTTTGAGTACCCCAGTCAAACCTTGTTATGATTTTACCAAGTTATATTTTAAAAATTATATATATGGGGGCAATATTAGCAATATCTATAGGTAATAGATTAAGTCTAGATTAATCTACCTAGATTAATCTATTAACACCAAGCACGGTGTCGGCCCAGTGTATATTACTTCCATCATCCCATGCGCAGTTAGAGATGACAGCTCTCTGTGCGCTTGGCCAGTTATCTCTCCAGGCCCATAGACCTGAGCTGCTTGAGAAGGGTTAATCCATACCACATTTTGCTCACTGCTATAGATAACAAAGATCATATAGATATAAATTGTTCATTTCCATAAGGGTTTCTTGCTAGATTAAGAAAATAGGGAGGGCCCCTGGCACAAGCTTGTGGCTAAGGTAACAAGTTCTGAGCCACCTCTGACTGAACTAGCTTTGATCCTGAACCTCTTCATCAGACAAAGAGTGGGACTGCAGCCCTCTCGTGGGACTATTGTTTTAGTAAAACAGAAAAAAAGAAGGTTCACAGCTACTGCAGAGGATTTCCTAAGTGGCTGTTGCAGGTTGCTGTTCCTAAATTGCCCTTCAGGCTTGATGCATGAGGCAGTGCACGTGGCAAAAACTGACCAGCTATCTTCCCCACTCCTTGTGACAGGAACTGTGAGGAATTATATTGACAAATACTAATGTCCGTGAGGGAAAATTCAGAAGTCAGTAAAAGAGACAGTGCAGCTGCCTGTGAGGCTTTGACTCCACATCCTCGGTCTGGTATATTGCAGAATGCAGCTTAATGGTGGCCTGTTATTTCTTGAATAATGGAATAACCACTCCTTTAGTGACACGAGTCATGTGTTCCGCTCAATAACTTTTCTAAAGAATCACAGCACCAACTAAGTGAATCACTGCAGCCTTCCTTATTTCAAAAAGTGAGCAGATTTAAGGACATGTTTGAAGTCAAGCAAGTGCTAGAGAATTCAGTGAAGCAAAGGACAGATTGCATCATCAAATATACTCCTGTTCTTAGCCACATAAGAGGATCAAGATAAAAACACATCTACCCACTAGCTTCACACTGAGGTCCCTCAGAGTTCGATCATCAGAGTTTACATTTTGACAGTTCATTTCACATTCCAGCCTCATTTCAAAGCACACAATGGGAGTCAAAATTTTGCAAGACCTCATAGGCTATATTTCAGTTTTGAAACAGCAGAATTGTAAGATGAAACTTTAAATCTTCCAGGAAACTACTGGACTGCATGCACCTCAAACTAACCTATACCACTTTTACTATTTACACCTTTTGCAGATCCACATAATATTACTGTTCAGCAATATCTGTTTATTACTGAAGAAAGCAGTACACAATATTTCACAGCACAGCACATTGCTGCTCTTTTTTTCTCTGTTGTATAATACGTGTCCTGAGTCAAGTAGATAACTAGGCCTTATTCTAGTAAAGCCCTCGGCTGCATGTTTAACTTATTCCTTAAGTATGTGATCCCACCAGTGAAACCACTCATGACATGTGGCCTTAAGGGCCTTGCTGAAAGAAAGTCTTCTTGAAGACAGAAAAAATTACCCGAGCTAAAAAAGAGAATTAGCTTGTTAGAATGCTGCCATCTAGTTAGATGAGTGTATACAACAAATCCATTTGCAGTGCTTGAAGTACCTCACTGCCCAGTACGCTAGCCTACCTGCAGAAAATCTTTGCCGACAGTCATTAATAGTTAATCAAAGGGACCTATTGTACCAGTTCCTTTGGGTCTGTAAAAACCTAAGTACATAAAGAAAAGTCATTAAAGAAAACATAGCATAAGAGCAGTGGCACTTTTGGGATCCTGCAAAATATAAGCAAATTTGTGTTGAACTTTGTTAACTTGTGCTGCAATGCAGTAAGCACCCTCAATTGCCACAGGCTTCTGCAGAAGTTGACAGGACTGCACAACTCATGGAAAGCAGTGCACAGTAGGAAAAGGCTGTTTTTCAGTAACCCAAGTCATATATGAACCTCAGAACCCATACTTGATTTGAGCATGATGTTTTAATATGCAATTTTGTGAGGGAAATCAAAGCAGAAGAAAGTTCCACATTTGCTCTGATATTACCTAGAATATTGTGCTTGAATGTCTTGGGTTTTGACGTGGTATCCATTGTACACCCAGCAAATGAAAATGCTATGAGAACAGACTTTAGAGACTGAATTGAGACTAGGATGCAATGTGCTTATGGAGTGATAGAAACTACATTTTTAAAAGTGTTTTATGCTACTACAGAAGTAAAATCCTTAGCTGCTTGAAAAAGTTATGAACTGTGCTATTGAAAGTACTGCACTTGCCACTTGACTACTACTTATCTACCTTCCTATGTCAAGGTGAGGAACACAGTCATGTCTGGATTTTGTATTCTGATGTATGTGGATAAATTACTTGTATTGTGTAAATTCTTTATTTTCTGATTGGGAACGGTGCTTGCCTAAAATGCATTATTTTAACATTGTCAGTTAAGTCCAAATAATTCCTAAGACAAATTATTCTCTTATTACAGCAGTAAGATAGATGTAGGATTTAGTAAATTTGCCATTTACTTTAACAAGTCAAGTATCTGGTCTTTATTTTTTATTACCTCACACTTGTTTAGCAGCCCAGTTTCTTGCAGCCTTGACCAGATGCTTTGGATCCTTCCAGCATGTTCAGGGTGATTAGCATAGTTGCCACACATACACTGGTGCTTCAGCATCAGATTGTCATACACAACACCTTCATCACAAAGACAGCACAATTAGAAACAGTAAGTGAAACAAGTGCAAGTTATACTGTTCCATGTCATGCATATTATAGCACAACTGGATTTTGTTTGACAGTTAGAACAAGATGAAAATTCTGGATCTTAATTCCCCTTTCCTCTGGGAGACTCATAATTTTGACTTACAAGGTACATCTTGTGATATTATAAGGCAAAAAAGAATTCTCAAGAAATTATACTAATAAATACAATTAACTAAAGAAGAAAGGAAATTGGGTAGTGTCTTGTTAGAGCTTTTATGGCTAGAAAAATATCAGTCCTATTACTGAATCACTTCTCTTTCTCTGGTGGGTAAGGTCGGTTAAGGCTGTTAATCTGTATAAAACAAGAAAAGGTTATATATTTATAGCAGTGTAAGGAAAATCATTCAGAAAAACCTTTTAAAATAAATTTTGAAAAGGCAATGCCACTCTGTATTTGTACTGCTTAACCAATACTACATTAATTCCAGATCTCAAAGCATATCAGATGAAAATTTCAGAGTTGCAGTGGTGGCAGCCAGAGTCCTTTTTCATTAAAAATAAAATTTCCACCCACTGATCAATTAGGACCAAATCCTGTTGTTAGACTGCAAGGCAAGGTTCCTTTTAAATTTTCTAAGCTCATTTATTCAAGGACAGGACAACTTTATGGAACAGCTATCAATATCACATTACTCTGTAGCTGTGTATTGGGAGCAAGAGAAATTTTAGTGAGTAGGCTTGAGCTAAAGTCAATTTTCAAGCTTTTCAAACCAAGTCTGAAATACTGAAAAATGTTTTTATTTATTTGCTTGTTGTTTGCATTTCAGAAATGTCTGGAACAAAAAATATTTTCCTTACCCTTGTGAACCATTTTCATTTGGGAAACTTTTTCTTCCTCTTACAGTTGAAAGGAACTCAAATTAATGATTTCTCTAAGCTGCAAAACTTGGCATTCAAAACCACTTTCTTATGTGCCACCACTACTGTGGATGCCAACACAGTTCTGGGAAAATTGTGCTAGCCTGCTACTGAAAAGTCAGCCAATGAAAAACATACAAAATTAAAGTCCAGATTCAACAACATGCTGAATACCGCCCTTATTTAGCAAAATTCTTGAATGGACATTGAACTTCATTAAAGTGTTTTAAAATTCTGCTGAATAAGAATCTGTATATATTGTGGGCAATGCAAAGTTAAGGTTCTGAGATAATTCAGTTAGAAGACAGCCAAAAATTATGCTACTCTAGAAATATTTATGCCGCCATATTTCTTAGCTCATGCACTATAGAACTGACCCTGTGGGATCTTGCTGTTTAAGCCAAAATGATAATACAACAATTATGTCTCACATGAGGAGAACGCAAACTTATTACTTATGTACAGCGTGACTAAGTTTATGCTAAAGGATTATCTAACAAACAAAACAGCTCATTAGCAATAAATTATTGTATTTACTTTCTTGGTTTGTTCTCTTTTAAAGAAAAAAAAAAAAGAACCAGTGAAAATCTGGAGCTAATAAACTAATGCAACTGAAAATCTCTGCTGGCATTGTCAAAGCAGTTAATAATTTCCTTTCTCTGCAGCTTGCACTGTACCACTTATAAGCTTTGCTGCTCTATCATCAGGTCTTATAAGTTATTTGAAACAGCAAGTATGCATACAAATAAGTGTATGCTCACATGCCTTGCTTTCCTTTTCTAGGCACGCAAAGTTTTAACTTCTACAGTCTGTTGCATACCCAGATTGTACAGTTTGTCAGTGGTCATTATACCATTAGATAAGAAAACTTTTCCTCCCATCCCCCTGCCCAACAGAGAAGGTGTTTAAATGCTAAATGAAAAAGCATCAAGACTTTCAGAAGCTCTTGGGCAGAGTAGGCATTTATATCCAATGGATTTGAATGGAAACACTTGCCCAAGCTGAAAGTATCTCCTACCTGCCACTATTTCAATGAATGTTTTGTTCTAATCATCAATGCTCCCTACAGGCTTAGGTTTGCATAGGCTGAACTGCAGTTACTAGGAATAAAATATGTATATTTTACTGTATTATTATTATTATACAAAATCAAGATATTATGTAATAATGACACTTTTTGATGACCTATATCAGGGTGGTGGTTTTGAAGTGAAATGCTGACATTGCATATTCAGGATGCTTCCTCAGGTTGACTTAGATATAAACATCCCTTTCTTAGTGCATTAGTAATTTTCCCAAAATAGAAAAGAACTAAAAATAAAATGTTATTGTAAGTGAATGATCTTGTCTGAATCAAAATTCAGTTTAACTGGGTGAGGTCAGTATTGCATGGCAGGAGGTTCTGCTCCAAACTTTTAAACACTAAGATATTCACACCACTGGGTGTAAAATGTATTTCTAGCATGATTAATTGACTTAAGAAAAGACTGAAATATATGTTTTCATTTATTGCAAGTATCTAAATTGATTCAGGTTGTGCAAGTAATTCAAATGTGTGGCTGCTGGTCATACAGCACATGTGCTTGGTACAATACCACAATGCAGCAGTAGAGCTTACTGCTAAAAATAGCCTGCAGGATTTCCCTAACAGAATTCAGCCAATAATTTCCCCACCCCCACAAAAAAAAGAAAAAAATAAAGAAAAAAAAAAAAGAGAGAGAGGCAGACAACTGTTTTCAATTGCAGACTGCTGTGAAATATTAATAAAAGATGGTTATTCTGTCTCTCCAGAACAAATGCCTACAGCCAGATTCTGCTTTCAGATTCTTTGTGTAAATCTGAGCAGCTCCACTGAGACTGGTGGATTTATTCTGGATTTACACCAATGTTACTGAGGTCAGAATGTGGCCCTCATGACACACTGGAATGATGGCACCATTGAACCATATAATGATAGAGGACATAGGACAAAAGCAATTGTATTTGCATTAAGTCAGAAAAAACAAAGTTTTCCTGGTGGGGACTCCCTAACATTGATTCATTTCCAAAATCCTTTATTTGGGTCAGCTTCTTTTAATAGTACTTTAAACAGAGAGGAGAGCAAGAGACCTAAAAATTGTTGGCTAAAAACGTGCTTTGAAGAAGGCAAAATACCCTGGAGAACAACAGTACCAATAAGAAAACCCAAGGGAAGAATATCTAATAAATTATTCAGAAGAAAAATCTGAACTAAAAAATGTGAAATACTGTGTAAACCATCTAAATTAACATCAAGTAGACTTTGTATTTTTTTCATATTTAACTCATTATCTTGTGCATATACTGCATATATATATATTGCATAGTGCTCTCACAACCATCACCATTCTGACTCCCTTCAGATATCTGCCTAGAAACATTTTCTCTCATGACTCACAAAAATATATGCTCCCCATTTAATAATCTGCCACAACAGTTTTCCTTCTACCTTTTTTCTCTTCCAAGTGTATATTGTCTTTAAATAGGAAGGGAAAAAAAACAAAACAACCAACCAAACAGTAAGAAATACTTCAAGGCAGGCAGGTACTTTTACATTTATTTCACACTACACTGGTGTTAAGCTCATAATATAGAAAACAGCTCATAGGAAGGAAAAAAAAAACAAACATACAGGAAGAAATACTTCAAGGCAGGCAGGTACTTTTACATTTATTTCACACTCCAAAGGTGTTAAGCTCATAATATAGAAAACAGCTCTATTTTCAATGTACTCAGAAACTGCAGTGATAAAGGTTATATATGTAAGTCTGTAAGCCTAGAGACATGTCAGGGAAAGGGATTTCTTCAAGCAGAAAGGAAAGGCTTCACTGTGAATGCAGAGGCGTGCACTCTCAGACCTGCAAACTGGTCAATCAGCTAATGACTGTTAGCATAGATACAGCTTGGAAGTAGCTTCAGCACTGTGCTGTGTCTTCAGCCAGTACCTAGAGGATATGAAAGAGGGGATGATACAGAGAAGTGAAGAAGCAGAATCATAAAGTTGTAGAGAAAGTGGAAACAGGAGGATTTTTTTTTCTTTAATGAGATTATTATCTTGAAAGAGTGGTGGAGGGGGAAAAAAGATTCAACAAAAGAAGAAAAAAGATTCAAGAAAAAGATGTTTCAGATTAAGAAAAAGGAGTTCAGTGAATGAATGAGAATCTCAGTTGGAATAGGATGGATTTTTTTCCCTCTTTCCTTCTCTCTTTCTTTCTGTCTTTCCACTGCTGTTGGTCATGTAGCAATGCTTTACAGAAGGGGTAAGATTAAACTATCTGCCCAGTCTTAATACACCCTGACTCTGCATATGCACTGTCTGCATTTCCATTGCAGAACCCATCAGGCTTCCTTGTTTCAGATCTCGAGCCCTTTATGCTTGATATGTATCTTTTCCCTAAATCATTATCCATTCAGTGTTTGTCCCACCTAATTTCGTTTGTTCTCTGTCCTTCCATCTCAATTTCACGTTTTCTTTCTTGATCAGTTCCACTGATGCCACCAGCCCCCAAATATATGTAAACCCCTTGACCCTAGTCCCCTTTCTGGGGACTTATAAGAGGAGGTGTCAGTAAAAATTAGCAATAAGAATGAAACAGGAGCCTTTACACTGTTTTTTCCAGTGGAACTGCAGATTTTTGAACAGGACATTGAAGCCTACACACAGTGAGCTCACTTTTCATGTGCTCTGTGAATCTTTCAGAATGAGTTTACAATGTTTTGGGGACTCTATGAACCACAGCTAGAAAAACAGTGGCCTGGTTTAATAATCCTGTCTGTACACATCTGGTCTTTTTGCAGAAACTCATGGAAAGTGAATTAGCATGGTTCTTTCTCCACAGTCCAAATATTTGTTACTCAAGAAGTGAAATTCCTAAATTGACAGTGTATTTACAGAAGAAGAAATTATGTCTTTCATCTTTGAATGTCATCTTGCATCTGTTTACCACTTACTTGCAGTGCTTTAAGGATATCTCATTTTGTTTTGCAGGTTTTTTTATTTAAAATAATAAATTTTTGCTTTCCAAGTTCACATGCTGGTTGGAGAGATGGCAGAGCACGCTGTCTCACACAGTCACATACAGTGCCCATTATGGACTCCATCCTACATCAATCCATGATCACAGCCTGAAGACCTGTAAGCTGTCAGGACATGGCAAGTTCTGCCAACTGATGTGAAGGAATTAATACTTCTGGCAGAAACCTGAATAAACAGTAATGCTGTTTCGGTGGTCATTTTTATTCCTTTCACTGAAGATTTTGGAGTTCTAATCATTCTGCTTTGGACAGCCCAGGTCGTACCAATAGGAGATGATCCCTGAGTGACTGGACTTAGCATAAAACCTTCCTCTGTAGACTCCACACCAACATCACCTTCTAGTCATGGCTCCAGCTTTGCTTTTTCTGTAGGGTAAGCAACCTTGTAGCATAGACTGACTTGTCAAGTGAAGACGTTGAGAATTATATTGCAGCTTTCCTACTTACTGGTGGTCTTTCTTCAACTTATTGGTGGTCTCTTTACAAAACAGGCAACAAGAATATGGAGAAAAGAACCAGAGGATAGGGAAATGAAAGAAAAAGCTATAAATGACTTAAAGACACCAAAGATGCACCTGTTTCTATATTGCCAGAGCCAGTCAATGGTAATGATTTATGACTGTGTGAATACTAACACTGTGATTTGTCAGCTGCATTGGTTGACTTGATGCCAGCGCAGCACCATAAAACCAAAGAATAGTAAGGCTAAAACTGAATGCATTGCTGCAGGAGGTATTTTAGGCATTTAAATCTGTTGATCCTACATGACCAAATGCATTTGCCCTGCCTATTAAAAGCAGTCTTTAGGGAATCCTACCAGTCGTGTAGACATGCTGGCTAGGCTGGTCCACGTCTGGGTGAGGTAATGTGGAATCAGCGGGGGAAGACAGGGTCCTGGGCACCGGTTGATGTTTATCTAATCCCGCCATGCCAACTGTAGCCATCTGAGCCTGGTAGATTTGCAACTGGTGGACATGCCGATGTGCCAGGAACTCCTGTTTCCAAGAGAACAGCACAGTAGAAAGAAATGTGAGATGGAATCAAGACAGTGAGGGAAACATGTCAACAAATTAAGATCATTAGGTCAGGGCTGTAACAAACAGTGCGGGGGGGAAAAAAAAAAAAACCAACAAACAACTCACACCTAAGACCTAGTCAATAAATCCATTCAACAGATGTTTCACACTGACAGTGTAGGCTGCTGACTTTGCTGGAGAGTAAGTGATGGCAGGCAACCTGTCAGTTCTCCCTGACAGAGGAAAAGATTATACATAATATGATGTTTGAATAGGCATTTATGACCCTACATAAATAAAATCTTCCTACACCACTGAGAGTGAAAAACCATGTCCTTACTACTCAGTACCAAAATCACTGAGCAACTGTGAGTCAAGTTCCTACAGAGGAGTCAGTTCCCAGAGCTCCTTGAAAACAGGAGCAATTTGCACATAGGTTTTCACGTACCATTTAGAAATTCAGGAATTGTTACATGAGATTCCAGTTAGGGACCAATAAAATCTTCCTACACCACTGAGAGTAAAAAACCATGTCCTTACTACTCAGTACCAAAATCACTGAGCAACTGTGAGTCAAGTTCCTACAGAGGAGTCAGTTCCCAGAGCTCCTTGAAAACAGGAGCAATTTGCACATAGGTTTTCACGTACCATTTAGAAATTCAGGAATTGTTACATGAGATTCCAGTTAGGGACCATCTTTTTTTGTCATAACTGCTGACGGCTGTAGGCAGTGCCAAACACTTTGGGAAAGATAGGCATGTGCGGAAAGACTGAGACATAACAGAAAGGAAGATTTCCTCCTCTGCTTTGTTTGTCAACAGATGGTGACTTTTGTTGACATGACAAAGGCTGAAACCCTGCTCAAGTCAGTAGAAGCCTCGACTGCACAGAGAAGGATCACTTCGCAAGCCCTTTTCTTTCTGTTTTTCTTTTTGTGTGTATAGTCCTAGAACCTCAACAGAAAGTGAATGCAAGGGAGAGATTTCCAAACCACTTTGCAATATGAAATTCAAACTTCTGTCTTAAAACTACAGACTATCTTTATCTTCACCTGGGCTCAGTATAAATATATGCAGGTATATATATGGTGTATATATATGACTTGCTTTTTAAAAAAAAAAAAAACCTAGTAACAATTAGTGGTGCTGTATGCTGTTGCTTGGGAGAGCAGCTCAGAGGCTTGGTCTGGCCAAGGAGGGATTGCCGGGTGCTTGGAGAGGTGAAGCTGAGTGCAGGCTGTGCGGGAAGGCAGGTGGGACTACCCCAGGCCTTCACATGCTGCAAGATGAATCCATAGCTCGTGGGAAGTGAGAATGTCTACACTGCATGTAAAAAAAAAGAGGTCTTTATGAAAATGAGTGCTCATCAATAACAGCTCAAATGAGAAATGCTTTAAAAGGCAGCCTCAAAACCCATATTAATAACTAGGGTCATCAGTTCAGTGAAAAGACATAAGGTCATGGGATGGGTAAATCACCTGGGACCTTGTCATAAGTGACTAAATAAAGAAAGAAAATATGAGTAAGCAAAAAGAGGTTTTACAAGAAGTGTCTTGGTTTGGGGTTGTTGAACTATTTCCCTTTCTTTAAATACCATCTTCAACTTTTTCTATTGCTTTTTTACTGTATGATGACAGGATGGTGTCATATATTCCAGGAAATATCTTGAAGTCTCTGAAGAGGTCTATGTATCCCCTTTCCTTATAAACTTAACATAACTTAACATTCAGGAATTCTTTCCTGAAATGCCTAAGTGCCTTGTTTTTACTTAGTTTCACTAAATATTTTAATTGTGATAAATTTTCAGAGGAGATATTTTTTATGCTCCTAGGCATACACATCTTTGGTAACCTTTGCTGGGAGTGTGCATGATTAGACAGAAGTGAAGAATGAGTAGATGCTATTGTGTTGAGTATTTTCCCTATGGAGGACAGAACTAGATAAATTCCTTTGTGAGGTTTTAACACTCACTAGCATTCACTTTCCTCAATGCTGGCTTACTGTTCAATAAAGGAGGCACAGGAGGTATTTTGCTGTCTGTGGCACTGTTACTTCCTGCAACCTAGGGTCAAGTGGTGGCAGCAGCACTGCCTGTCTGATGCTAGTGTATTCACCGTCTCTTGCCTATTGTTCCAAAGCACAAGAGCTAGTTCAGCAGTTTCGAAGAAGCCAAACTCCTACCTGCAGGTGCCCTTCTTCACACAGAGCTTTACTGCCGTATGTGAAATCAGCAGAATGATTGTTACTTCCGCTGCTCTCCTCAACCTCTTAGGTTGCATTCATTGTGTTAACTGAATAGCTGGTATCTGTGTAGTTCTTTGATCAAGGGGACTTTGATACTGTCTTTCAGTATTCACACTAACTAATGATAACTCATTAATTGAGTTCACTTTTCTGATAATTACTAGAGAGCAGAAGACAAAAGAGTTTGTTCCCTATTTGAATGCTCTTCAAGCTAGTAAGGGTTCATCAGTGTATTCTGGCAGTGTGCATTAAACAGTATTATTTACATATACTTCTTAAGGAAATCTTGGAAATTCAGCTATCAGTGAGGGAGGATTCCTACTGTGGAGAAATGTTTCTGTTTGGACTTTTCTCAGTGCCAGCAGACTCTAAGCTCTGAGCCTTTAGGGCTGCCTTGTCTGCCTTTCTTTTACTTCCAGACTTGAAATTCACTTGTGCAATACCTGCACAATCTTTTTCAGTGAAGCTGTAAGTTTGCCATTCAATCAATACCTAAAATCTAATCTCTCCAACGCTCCGACCTGAAAAGTCAGTTTAAGGGGTTTTGGGGAGTTTTGTTATGGTGTCTCGAAAAAGAAAAAAACCAAAATCTGGAACACTACAAAATGTTGATAATTCAGGAAGATGTTCCTACCTTTGCTTATAAAAAAAAAACAGGTGTTTGTGTATATATAAGCAATAGAAATAACACTATTTTTCAGGCATATGAACAAATCAAGGTAATTTTTTTAATGGTAATCAACCTGTGTGAACATCGTCTAAGAGCCAGACAGCCTTATATTTCAGCAATTTGGCAAAGACCAAGAAGAGAGCCTGTTCTTGCTCTCCTGTATTTTCCTGCTACCCTGTGTTTTGTTTATATCATTCTCCTCAAATGAAACCAGACATATACCTAGAATTGGACACATGTTTATCAGTGTAATCAGTCCAGGGAAGAAGAAATTTGTGGATGCTTGGATAGAAAGCTGCATGACACCTATTTTAATTTCTGAGGTGACAGAAAACTGCCTGTGAAAACCTTTTAAAATTTGTTAAAAGTACAGTAGTTTGTCTCACAAAGCTTACACTGGGGCTTGCTCATATCCTTCAGTGACTTCCAGATCCTTTAACTGTAATTTTAAAAATATAAGCACCAGCAAAGTTTGGATATGTTTAGGCTTCAGTCAAAGTTTTCAGCTAACTTCCTGATTAGGTTTCATCTTACAGACAACAGGCACTCATGAGATACATATATTTTTCCAGCCACCTACATATTTATGCTGTGAGCATTTGAGATACTCTGTGTCACACAGGCAAGTGGATTAATGCAACGAGTAATGCAGGTAATCAACACACTTATCTGGCTCCCCAAATGCCCACCTGGCCTCTGGAAGGGATTAAAGCAACACAATGAATTAATCTTCAGGTTTTACGTGCTACAGCACTGCAAACACATGTCCATCTCTCTAGCAATATGACAAAAGCAGTATTTGCACATCTGCAGGGTTAGTGATTTGTGTGCATATATTTGGAGCATTTCTTAGGTAACCTGAGCCCTGTCTGCTCGGCATGGAGCCTGCTAGTTCCAGGTGCCTGAGATTATTTCATTAGTAGAGGCAGGCAATTAGGGCCTCTGCCGGAGCAAATGGAGAGCTATCCATCGTCTTCCCCAAAAAACAGCTCAGGCCCTCAGTAATTATTTTGAGCAGGATGTTTAGAATCAGACTCTAAAGAGAAGATGACCCTTTTAGAGGCATGGGAGGTAAATATTTGTTATTCTCCTAGTATTACTGTAGGGTTTGGGGTTTTTTAGGAGGAGCTGAAATCAATTTGGTTTGGTGTGAATACTTCTTTCATGTAGATATGTGATTTGTACATTTTAGTGTTTAATGCTTTATATATTCTGAGGATTCTAGTGAAATCTACTTCCTTATTTCTACTTGCTGTGAGAACTGGTGACCTGCAAGTATATTCAGTTGGATTGTCAGATGGTCTATGTTGGATGATAAAGCATAGGTGAATGGTCTATGAATTAATGCTCCTTCAAGCTGATATGTTTTGTGCAGAGAAAAAATAGCTGGGGTTCACTCATAAAAACCTTTCTTGCCTCTCAATAGTCTGCTTTTTATTTTTGTTTGATATGTTTATATTTAGTTTAATCACAAGCTAAACTAATCCTTAGATTTGTATGTCTGTTCCATAATCCTAAATGTGTATGGCCATATGTACACCACTCTTCAGGGTTTATGCTTTGGCTTCTTGTCATTGTGGTAGAAAAATTTTATCTTAAGAAATTCAAAATTTGCTATTCCTAATAGTGAGAATACTGTTTATAGTCTTTCGTATATTTTTGGCCAGTTTTGTAGTCCTCTGTATTCATGCCTCTACTGCATTCTGCTGAAGTATGAAATGTGTGCTAATATCTATTTACTGTTAAAAATAATTCATGTATTGCCCATTCTCTCCTCCTCTTCCCTCTCCCAAAGACCTTCAGTACTGCTAACCTTACAAAGTCTTTCCTCTCAAAGTATTTTTTGGTGTTGTGTTTGGTAGTTAATTTCTTTCCTACAACTTCCACATTGTTTTCTGAAAATTACCCAAAAAACAATCATTACCGAGGAAAAATACATGAGCTGCAGGAAGTTTTGCGCTAGGTGAGGATGAAAACAAAACCTGCCTAGTGGGAAGACATGCTGCATTCCACGTACTTCCCCCAGCTCCTTCCTCTGAAGAGTATTTCTGAAACCTGCTCTGCTG